TGATGATGGCTGGCGAGATGGATGAACGCGTTGCGATAACGTGGGTCGTGATTGTTCTTGCAGACGCTTCTGCTTACGAGAACTGATGATGCGCGTAGTAGAGCTGGAAGGCGTGCCTGCCTAGCATGAGCTAGATGGGGCGCAATGTTCATTCTGCGTCTCAGTCTGGCAAGAACGAGAGCGTACGCTGTCGTGACCTTCTTCAATTAACAGAATTACCTCTAGGCCCTTCCCTTCAGCCCGAAAAGTATTGCGATGTATACCTTAGTACGGTTCAAAGACAGAGCCGACTGTACATTTGTGAGCCGCGATGTTCAAAGGCATCGGATACACAACATCGTCGCGCTCAGGGCCCTCGCTCGCTCTGTCCTATCTTTAACCAGAGCTGACCATCGCAAAAGCGCTTACATCGTTGCTGTTCAATATATTGAAGACAGACACATGCTGAATATCGATAGAGACATACGCATCTGAGTAGAGTATCGGATCAGAACGATGATGAGTGCCGGTCCTTGAGTCGGACTTGGAGTACTTGCAGCTTGCAGGTCGGCAATGTATCCAGATTTTAAGGTCAGCTTGGATTGGCATGGTCGCAGTAGTGGCAGCATCAGCAGCTCAGACTGGCGTAAAGGACTGTCGCAAAGAAGCACATGGAGTCGTGCGTTCAACGTGTAGCCTAATCACGCAGTAGAGATCGTTCAGCAATCTACCCCTCACCAGATCACACAGGCCAGATCTGAACTGTTATTGCCTTCGCAGTCGAAGCCGTACGATTAACCTCAACGACCCTGGAACGCGCGCGTCTGACATGACGGTACGAGCAGGCAGTCCGCCAGATGCTGCGACAGTTCGCCGCAGCGACATGCGTCCATTGTATCTGAACTGCTACCTCACAGGCGAGCGACAAGACGTGTGTTAGTTGTTGGCGTTGGCTGTCATGCAGACGTTGGTGATGGGCAAGCTCACCTCGTTGAACATGAAGTCACGCTAATGGGTCCGTGCACCACAAACTCGAATATTCAGTTCGCTTAGTCGAGCCACCTGGAATTCGCATCCATCGAGCTCTCCATCACGACAACTAACCTCACAGCACACCGGAGTCGAGCAAAATGTCGACATTCGAACCCGTCATTGTACGTACGCCCCGATAGACGCAGCCCGATATCCCAGGCACTGGCCTTCGCATGCCGCCGCGATGCCAGCCTGCAATCCCGTCAACACCACGCATCTTCCTTGGACGTCTCGCTGACAGCGCACGCAGGTCATCGACGGCAAGGGCCACTTGCTCGGTCGCCTCGCCAGCACCGTCGCCAAGCAGCTCCTCAACGGCCAGAAGATCGTTGTTGTGCGATGCGAGGCCCTCAACATCTCCGGCGAGTTCTTCCGCGCCAAGTGTACGTACACCCACCGAGCGAGCGAGCGAGATCAGGAGCAAGCCATGGAGTGCAATTGGTACATGGGGCTACAAGAGGACGATGTGGTCGGCGATGTGCACTTTGGCTGCTTTTTGGCAGAGCGGTCTAGGGACAATTTTCTGGCAAGACAGCAACTGACATGACCCTACAGTGAAGTACTCTGCTTTCCTGCGCAAGCAGACCCGTTACAACCCCACTCGTGGTGGTACGTCTCCCCGTCCATACATAGCGCATTCGCGGTCCAAGGTCGAATGTGCGCGTTACTAGCCGTCATGTGCTGACCCATCTGCCAGGTCCCTTCCACTTCCGCGCTCCCTCCAAGATGTTCTGGCGAACCGTCCGCGGTATGATCCCTCACAAGACTCCCCGCGGTAAGGCCGCCATGGAGCGCTTGAAGACCTTCGAGGGTGTCCCCGCTCCCTACGACAAGAAGAAGCGCGTCGTCGTTCCCCAGGCCCTGAGGGTGCTGAGGCTCAAGCCTGGACGCAAGTACTGCACTGTCGGCCGTCTCGGACACGAGTTCGGCTGGAAGTACCAGGACGTCGTTGCCCGGTATGTCGCTCCAATTCCTGCATGCGTGATCAGAAATGCTAATCCATACGCAGTCTTGAGGAGCGCAGGAAGGTCAAGGGTGCCGCATACTACGAGCGCAAGAAGGCTATCCGCCGGCAGATGGCTGAGGCCAAGAAGACGGCCACCGTCGACTCCAAGGTCCAGCAAGAGCTCACATCCCTCGCATACTAGAAATCGGCAGTCGATGAACAGTGTCGGTTTCAGTTTCGGTGACGTGGTTCGGCGTGGATTGCATTGGGCTCATGGGATGTTTATTTCCTCTACTATACTCCGACCATTCGAAAGGGTGTCCAGGCTAAAAGAGCACATCAATACCAGGGTGCTTACGTGTTCATGGGTCTCTTCGCGGTCGGTCTGCTGTGTCTTCAGGTACTCTTCCGGCTAGAAGCAATACGAAATGAAAAATCCCAGCTGATGTAAAGCATGGTGACGGCGTTGAGCATTCAGCAATAGACTTGTGGTTATGTTAATTCACTCACGATTCCCTTTATGCTTTGCATCCACCCTGCCGTGACAAGATGGACAAGTACCTTGCACAACAGCCTCGTAGTCCGATGTGTCTGCGATCCGACGCGGGCGGGAGGATAGGGTATGCCTATTGGCGCTTAACCTCGGCTGTGACGTCGTGCCGCACCGGAACCGGTACCCTTCCCCAGATTTCCCCATGGCTGGGAGCTTCAGGGTCGGCTGTCAGCCATTGCGCCCTGTGAGAAACGTATTAGACTACGTTGTTCAGAGTATCGCGACATCCTTCTTTCCGCCGTCGCGTACCCTTGTCAAAAATCGCGTCCTGCAGCCCTCTCATCGCTCAAGACCTCGGACATCTCTCGCATCTCGTCCCACAGCGGAGCTACTCCGCACTCTGGCGTCTGTAGCTTCAGCTCAGCTGGGCCAAACTGTAGATCGATATTTCCGTCGCGTGTATATAAGCTGCTGTTAGAACGTTGATCCACCAGATCCTCGTGCAGATACAATGGAAGGTGCTAAAGATCGTCTCAAGCAACTCGCGTCGCATTTCACGTCCGCCAACCCCGTCCCTGGGCCACCGCCCATCCACCCCGGCGACAGCCACGAATACCATCATCGACACAATTTCCACACCCTCAGCCCAACATGGTTCCTCTGGCGCGCGGCGCAAATCGAGCCAGACGCCATGGCAATATACCACAAGACGGCGAACGGCAAGATCCTACGGCGCTCTTACGCTGAAGCTGCGGACCGCGCACGAGGGTTGGCATACTACCTGAGGAAACACGGGTATAAGAGAGTAGGCGTATTGGCGACAAACACACCAGCATTCCTGGAGAGCACATTCGGTATCGCGGCGGCAGGAGGTGTGAACGTCGCTATCAACTACCGGTTGAAGCACGATGACATCAGTTACATCTTCCAGCACTCGGACGTGGACATGATCATTGCCGATGCTGAGTTTGTGGGCTTGTTGGACGAATACAAGAAGGAAAGACCAAACGTACCCATACTGATCGACACAGACACGGATGCGACAGAAGGCGAACTCTCTGGTCCTTTCGACGATGCAGTACTCGAGGGATTGAAGTACGATATTGAACAAGGAGGCAAGGGCTGGGCAGATCTGGAATCGCAGGCGAAGGACGAAGAAGACGTCATGGCACTCGCATACACCAGCGGAACAACAGCACGGCCGAAGGGGGTCGAATACACACATCGCGGCGTCTACCTTGCTGCCATGGGCAATGTCATCGAGTCTGGGCTGAACTATCATACTGGCCGCGCAAAGTATCTCTGGACTCTGCCAATGTTCCACGCGACGGGTTGGACATTCCCGTGGTCAGTCACCGCCGTCCGAGGAACGCACTATTGCCTCCGCAAGATCGACTACGCAGAGATCTGGCGCCTGCTCAAGGAGGAAGGCATCACGCATTTCAACGCCGCACCAACCGTCAACACCCTACTCTGCGCAGCGAAGGAAGCAGAGCGCCTACCCCAGCCAGTCAGAGTCACCGTAGCCGCAAGTCCACCGAGCGCATGGCTCTTCGAACAGATGTCAAACCTGAACCTACACCCCGTCCACGTCTACGGTCTTACGGAAACGTACGGTCCGATCACGAAAGGCTACCACATGCCCGAATGGGAATCGCTGCCCGAGAAGACGAAATACGATCGTATGGCACGGCAAGGCCACGGCTTTATCATGGGCAAAGCGACGCGAGTCATCAAGACTGAGCAGCCGGAAGGTGTCCTCAACGACGTGGAACGAGACGGCAAAGAAATTGGAGAAGTCATCTTCGAAGGCAACATCTGCGCAAAGGGCTACTACAAAGATGCCGAAGCGACGCGCAAGTTGTGGGAGGGCGGTTGGTTGCATACAGGCGATCTAGCCGTTTGGCATCCAGATGGAGCAATCCAGATCTTGGATCGTGCGAAGGACATCATCATCAGTGGTATGTTGTTGACTTTCCGAGTCTCACTCTTTTGAAGCGGTTTGCTAACCAAATGGCTCACAGGCGGCGAGAACATCTCTAGCGTAGCGCTCGAAGCCATGCTTTCCACGCACCCTTCCATCCTCGAAGTCGGCGTCTGCGCCGTGCCGGACTCACACTGGGGCGAGCGGCCCAAGGCTTTTGTCACCACAAAGGACGGGACAAACAGCGACACGTTGGGCGATGAGGTGATTCAGTGGGCCAAGGAGAACAGCAACATCAGTCGCTTCATGGTGCCCAGGGAGGTCGTGGTGGTCAAGGAACTGCCCAAGACGAGCACGGGGAAGATACAGAAGAACGTACTCAGGGAGTGGGCGAGGAAGGGCAGTGTAGAGTAGCTGTGCTTATGGAAAACATATCATACCTCCTCCACGGAGCCTCTCGGTCGCAAACACAGATGCAGAGTCATGTGTCTGCACCACGCGTGAAATCTGAGCACGTGGTGAAGCAGCGTGGTAAGGGAAGCAATCGATGCTACTTCTCCATTGAAAAGGAACTCAATGAGCCTGCGGTACTGACTCAGATGTCAATTACTCTTAATCGATCCATTATGTTTTCACCTGACGGAGCTTTCATCAACACGAGCGAGATACTCAGCGATGCCGAGGCTCAAGCCATCCACAACAGAGTTCAGGACGAGGTTGCCGCTGGGAATATTGCTGACGGACGTGTGGGAAAGTTCAAAGACGATCCTCAATCCGCAGCAGCTAAAGCATATGCCGATTCAGAAGTTTCCAGGCGACTGCGCGCGGCTATTTTACAGGCTGAAACTAAAGCTAGGGCCGGACAGGGAGATGAGGATGCAGGTAAACATCCCTCGCTATTCTGCGTAATGCTGATCAGCTGACTCATTGGACGATTCTGAAGCATCTGCAACACGACTACTGGAACAGTACAAAGATTTTGTCCTCTCCAAGCTGCCTGTATCAGAGGAAGTTCAGAGCCAGATACGCGGGCTGTTTCAACAATACGGTTGGCCAACAGTCTGGCAGTCTCTTGACTCAATCGAGGGCTGCGGAGATGGTCCTACATCGACTTGGCAAGATGTGGACAATGACCTGCTCGTGAGGCTAGGGGACGAGAAACTGCTGGGAATGAACAAGATAGCAGAGTACGTTTTCATTGGTATGCGAGTCAGTCAGTGTCGTGACCAGTATAATTTTCTGACAACGGAATGAGAGGGGGGTTTAGAATATGTGTATAGTTTCGCTGTATACACACTGAATTAGCTGAATTGGCAAGATACTGTCGTTATGACCCTTCGCCGAGGATCGCACCTTCTGTTGAGGGTCACAGGAAGTGCCGGTACGATCTCAATACCACGTGCCCCCCTACAAACGAAAGAGTACCTAGGTAAACACCAATATGAGTCCTACGTCAACGTAATATCTTGGGTCGCAATGATACGTCGTGGCAAGCATGACCCCGTCCTACTGACTGATTTCGCATCAAGTTTGCATGTCAGCAAACAGAGAGTCATATATAGCGCTGAAGCCAACCCTTGTGTAGTTCCTAACTAATACCTATAATGGCCTCCGCATCATCTAGTGCAGACGTTCCCGCACCAGGCCCACAACTACCTGGCGACCAAGCGCTAAACGACGTCGAGGAAATCCGAGATCTAGTCGCACGACGCAACAGAGCGCTCGACTCGTTAGACCTTGATCAACTCGAGAGAGATGGGTTACATACGGATTTGAGTGAGATAGGTTGGCCGGTATCTCTTTGCAAAGGTGGCTCACAGACAGCGAGGCCGAAGAATGAGTCGTTCGATGTCCGCGACCTCTATGCGCTACTCTGTATCATGCGGCACATGATGATGCGGCACAGCGATGTTGTGACCGGTGACTTGCGTCTCTTCTTTAAGAATCAGAACAGCAAAAGGTTTGGCAATAAGTGGAGCAATATGCAACGAACATGCAGCAAATATTGGAAGGAAGCAGATGACAAGGACCTGATACAGCTGTACGAGGGCGTCAACAAGACTTTCAAGGATATTGCTCGAGAGAACTTCGCAGAGTTTCGAGAAGCCGTGAGGAGCTTTTCGGAACCGGATATGCAGATCGAGATCGCGTTTCTTATTGCGAAGAAAAGGGAAGTGAAAGAATCCGACGATGACGCAGGTAACAGTGCTGGTGACGGAAATTAGGACGCCAGGGGAGAACAATCCTGTGTCGCTGCCTCAATTGAAACGTTTTACGGAGCTGTAGTCAGCAGGTACACATATCTGAGGTAGTCTCTTATTATCAGGAGGTGATGTCGCCGGGGGTGGGAGAGATGGATGCTGGCACGTAGCTTCCAATTCCACGATCGCTAAGATTCTGGCGCGAGCTGCTAACCCAACTGGACGTGTGACTTCCGTAATCCCAATAAGCTTGGAAGGGCGTTGATCTCCAGACAACTGAGCTGAATCACACCAAGCTGTTGCATCGACGCCTTCATCGCAACATGACCCTTCTTGTCACCATAAGCGTTCACATCACCCACCCGTGAATCCCCACGAACACCACATCGAACCAAGCCTGCGCCGCCATGAACACTACTGCCCAATTCGGTGTCTCAAGCCCTTCACACCACATCTTGTATGCCTGCCAGATCGCCACATGAGCCGCTGCCAGCACCGCCTTCCCAGCAATCGCAACACCGATAGTGATCTTGCGCTTGAGAACCGAGCCGCTTTCTTTGTCATGCGCGATGAACACGAGATAGGCGACCCAGAAGCACGTTGATACTACGAGAGAGATGGATGCGAAATACGGAAGGAGGGGCGCAGTGCCGGGATGTGGGGTGTGAGGCTGCGTGAGACGTCAATAGAGGACTATCAAATCTGGTTGATTACTTACAGGATCCGCTTTTGTACCACTGCTTCGACTTGCCCAGATGGTCGCAAAGATAGCGCTGACACAGGAGACAAACACGAAGAGAGCATTCATCAGCGCGCGAGCGGCATTGGTGTGCTTTGCAACAAGACGGTATTCGCTTGAGCGGGGGCGCTGGGTGGCTGCCCCGTAGGAAGGCAGGAGAGGTTATTGTGACATGTTTTGTATTGTGTACTGCGTATGTCTTTGATACTTGCTGCTAATAGAGAGAGTGTCCAGTTTGTGTTGGAGCTCTCGAAGAGAAAGTGGGGTAAATAAGGCGTGGTGGTACAAGAGACCAAAGCTCAGCCTGCCTGTGCCACCTCGAAATTCCCTGCACGTACTCAACCGCCGTACGTATCCTATACCCCATAGATCAGGCTATCAAATGGGTTCCAACCAGGCTCGCGAAGGTAGGCTTCCATCATGAATTCCCCAAACTTTGCCACGACCATGAAATCCCACCAAGCTTGCCCTGCCGAGTAGATCCAGAGCAGAAAAGGCACCCATGAATCTTCGTGCAGAGCTCGGTGATACCAAAATCCTCCCAGGCAAGCCGAAGCGCATCCCACTTTCCCCATGATCGAAACTATAACCACGAAGCAGCGATGTGTTGCGCAAGCGGTCACGCTCCTGTCGCGCGCAACGAGAACAAGGTAGGCGATCCAGAAGGTAGTGCAAAAACCGAGAGCAAGACCTATGCAGAGGTATAGGAGCAATGTCTTCTCAGTGGGCGGACTGACAGGCTGTTCACGAAAATTTCAGTGTGCGTTCTAGATATTTGAGGCCCTGAAGAGTCTGTTACTTACTGTTTGATCGCTGTCCGTACTGTATGGTAACGCCCAGATAGTGGTGAGCATGGCGATGACGAAGAACATGCGTACGAAAACGTTGGCGATTTCCTTCTTGATAGTCATTGCTCTCTGGATACTGCAGCCGCCGAGAGTGTGCTCTGCTACACTCTCGCCGCATTGTTGATAATGGCGGGACTGCGGCGCTTCGTATGAACCTGCCAGTAGCGGTTCTGTTGGATCCATCCTGGCAGTCAAGTCAGAAGTAGTGTGTTGATGTTGCTTTCTGGTAGAATTGCAGGCTAAAGAGTGTGTAGTGGGGGTGGTGCGGTTTGATTGCGTTGACAACACAGCTGACTAAAGGTCACCCACCCTAGATCGAGCTCAGGGTCTAAAGCTCGTTGAAGAAGAATCGTGTTCTATATCTACTGTACAAGAATGTTCTATCGGTCTTTTGATCTACAGACACAGGACCGCACCGAAACATCCTTTAGTACTCTCAAAAAACTCGAACGTATACTCACAGAATCTATCGTTTCCTCTTCTCCTCCTCCAACTTCTTAGCCGCAGCCTTCTTTGCCTTCTCCCTCCTCCCCACCGCCGCTTCCGCACCAATACCGCCAAACACCAGTCCAACACCTAGCCACTGCATGCCGGTAATCTCATGACCGAACCACCACACACTCCAAACCATGGTCAGCATCTTCCTCGTAACTGTTACTGTAACAAGCAGCAATGAGCTGAAGTGGGCTAGGGTGTGGAAGATGAAGACCTGGCCTATAGCGCCACAGGCAGAGAACATGAGGACGTCCCAGCCGACAGCGGGGTATGTGGTTATGAACGAGAGCGCATCGGATAGTTCACCGGATGAGGAGTGTGGGTCAAGGCCAATCCAGCCAGCGAGGGGCGTGGAGGCAAGGAGAGGTGTGATGAGGAGGTAGGATACTGTCAGTGCTGTTGACATGATGTTCTGGGCGCACATCATCTGGGGTCCGGTGAAACCTTTGAAACTGCTGAAAATGTGATCTTGAACCGTGTTCGTAAGGCCGTCGAAGAGAAGATTCACCCCGAGCAGAATTAGACCAATAGTTTGCGAGGCGTCAGCGCTGACACCCTTCTTCGCGGCCTTCTTCGCCGTGGACGGGCTGTGTAGTGTAAAGACCGCGACACCGAGGGTTACGAAACCGACGACGGCGTACTTGTACATTGGGTATCGCTTCTGGAAGAGCGAAATGTGGAGGAACATGACCGGGAGCAGTTTGCAGCTCTTGGCTAGGATGAAGGTGACGTAGTCAATGTGCTTGAGACTTGCGTATCCGAAGGGGGACGCGAGCGATGATGTGACGGCGATTCCGAGGAGCGGCATAAGGATGTCCTTCGAGGGGAAGATGGGTAGCACCTTGCGCACGCCGGTCTTGGGGTCTTTCTTCGCGGACAGGTTGAGGTAGAGGAGGCCGGTGATGGCAGCGAAGGCGGATTGGACGGTGTTGAGGAAGATGGAGTACGTGAAGCGCTGGTTGCTGGGGCCGTGGGTGGTGGTTGTTAATCGCTCTTGGATCCATGCCCAGGTCATGCTATCATTTGTTAGCTATGTTCCCGTCTAACGTAATATTGTACATTGCGACCTCATACACGAAAAAAGCTGAACAGGTCTGCAGCCTACATTGACGTAAAAACGTACAAAGTAGGCGACGTAACGTCAACGTAGGCTCTAGGGTGACTTACAAACTTCCATATATACCAGCGACACAGATTACCAACTGGAACAGCCCTGCTTCCTTCTGCTCCTGAGGGTTCCGCGCATGGAGCTCTGCTTGCTCCTCCAGCTTCTGCTCGATCGAATGCACCGCACCGTCCAATTGATGGACGCCATCCAATTGGTGCTGCGCATCTCCCTTCGCGTTTCCATTCGTCTCATTGACCTTGCGCCGAGAGGCTTCCATTGTGCGTGCTGTATCGTGGGTATCGCTAGTGACGTCGTGGAAGTTGATTGAGGAAGGCGCGCGCCGCGTTCGTGTTGGGGCGTGTCGCGCTGTGTGTAAAGGAGTGGACTGCGCGATGGGGGTGCGCGAGGAATACAGAGAAACAATGTTTCTTGAGCGACGGTGGGTCAGTGGAAAGTGTACACCTGGCTTTAGGTTTAGATTACACCTGCGCCATAGGCAGTTCCTAAGCTTCAACCGTGGCATCAATTGACCGGGGCTAAGACGGAGTTAACCGAGCACGGGCCGTGTTTGAGCCTCAGGGATCGACTCGACCGGGGCGCGCCACCCACTCGCTAGTGTGTGGAGCGAGCGCCGCTTCACTGCGAGCTGGAGGAGCACACACATGATGCAAAGGGCGCGAACCTGCCGACTGAGTTTTCATGGGGTTGTGTCATTTATTGTGGGAGAAGGTGTCTACGCATAGTCTGGAAAAGGCATCAAAGCGTTCTCCGCGCTTACCGCTCCAGCCGTTCATAAGGTCGTGAAAATATGCTCGCTAAAAAAGAAGATCCAAGGTCAAACGCCAGCAGATGCAGCCCCCACTCTGTTCCGGGGCCCAGAAGGCAAGCTCACGCCTCACCTCTGACAATCTTCGAAACAGCGCTCTTGACCAGCACCCACATTGGCCCAGCGTTGACTTCCTTGCCGCCGCCCTCCTCCATCCCGCATTTCCTCTTCCACGCATCTCTCCACCCTCGCTCTGTATCCTTTTGCTTGAGCCTCATTAGCTGCCCCGCTCGCTTTCCTTGCCTTCTGTACCCCGCCATGAATGCGTCCCATTCTTTCCTCTCCTTGACGAAGACGACTACTCCGTTTCCTGCATCGATGGGCTGGCTGCCTCTAGATAGAATCCGCGCCTCCCACGCGCTGCCCATGGATTGAAACGTGAAGTTCGCGCTATGCAAGACGTAGTAGCGCTTCCGCTTGCCGAACTTTGACGCAGCGTTGGAGGAGGGCGTGATCCAGTGTGTTGCGCGTGAGTAGATGCCGTCTGCCAGTGCTTCGTGGAGAAGCTCTGAAGGGATGTACTGGCGGCACTGAAGGAGCAACTTGTTACGGAGCAGACTGATGTCGATGTCTGGGTGGGCGGTAGGTATTTGTGGCGAATGAGACAACAATGCTTTGGTCTGCGTACGCGTTGATCGCGCTGGTGGCTTCGATATGCGTCCTGATGCTCGAATGACAGTGACTGGGTTGCTGAATTGGTGAGGGGTAATCGTCTGCGTTTGGATGGGCGCCATGATAGTCGTGGTGCTCAGTTGAGAGTGGTGTGTGCTTTGTAGGCGGTGTCAAGTCTCGCAGGCTTCAAACCGTGAATCCGTATGGTGTCGTCTGGTAGGGAAGTTGTGGATGGAGTAAGGAATATTGTGGAGGAGCAGAAGCGAGGCAGAGAGGGAACATGCGGTCAAGAAATCATCTTTAACCATCATGCACCCCTTCCTAGAACAGCTAGCTCCTGAAAAGAAACAGCTACTACCCAGCCTTCGGAAATCAGTCGGGGTGCCAAATCTGTCTCTGCCCTAGTCTACCGCCTGCCCGCGTCTGGCGTCTGGGCGATCCTGGAAGGATTAGCGAGGCACACGAAGCCTGCCTGCCGAACCTCACCGTGGGCGAGCATCCCGCGCCTGCAGCGTTCGTCTTGTCGTTCGAGCTTGTGCTGCTCCAAGGACTTCTTTGACGGAACACCTTCCTTTGACTGCTGAACCCTCTGTGGAAAGCTCAGTTGTTGTGGCGAAGACATCGTGCTCAGGTGCTCAGCGTCCGAGCGTGACACTAATGACGTATTCCCGATTGGAGGGTCCAACGGTTCGGAACATCTGGGCAGCCTCGTTCTGCACGTGCAATGCTGCACTCATTTCCCCTTGGGCAGCACCATCATCAAACGTTCGCAAGTACCACATCACTTTAGGAGTAGTTCGCAGTCTAGACACTATCATCGTAGAATTCTAAATATTGGTAGTAGATGTTGTTTGTTTGTATCGGAGTGTCGGTAGGGGAGCAAGGGAGAGGGAAGGGTTTCGGGTAAGGAGTGAGGGAGTGATTAGGAAGGTACATCGGAGTGTCGGAGTAGAGCTCGGGACGTGGTGAGAAGCTTCTCACTTCTTCCCAACTCTTCTTCGCCAAGAAAACCCAAAGATGGATGTCAGAGCTGCTACCCTTGAGCAGATGTACTATCCGGATATCAAAGGCCATAACGTCATGACATTCGTGAGCCGCTCAGCGTGCACTCAGTTCTCTCTCGACAATAGTAAGAAAAGTAAATAATGCTCCAGACAATCCGTGGTATCCATCAGTAACAGCAAGTAAGAAATTCAGCAATTCCATGCTTTTGTTGTCGGTTTTCGTGGTCTCCGTTTCGGGAGACATGAATGCAGATGGCGACGGACGTGAAGAGCTGGCGACTGGTAGCGAGGCCTGCACGGCCTCAAGCTATCTTGCACCTCCCAAGAGGGTTGGCAATACCCAACGGCGCCGACGTTGGGTAGCAGATGCGCTAGAGAACGGTCTACTCCTGGGCCTGGCTGCGGCGCATCTTCTCGGCCTCCAAGTTCTCGTACAGCAGATAGAGAGCCTTCTCATTGGCACTGGCACTACCAGTGATGGTGAACATGCGCTCGCCGGTGTCATCATGAGGTGCCTTGGCGATGGAGATGCGGGCGTTGGACGTCTTGCGGATCTCGCTGATCTTGCTACCGCCGCGTCCGATGATACAGCCGACCATGTCAGACGGGATGCTGATGTTCTGGGTCTGCATCTCTTCGCCATCCTCGGTGTGCGTTGGGGGCGGGGGCCTGCTGGCGGCATCGGAGCCAGATCGTCGAGAAAAGGCAGGAGGCGAGTCACTGAAGTCAGCGCCGTGACCAGTGCGGTTGTACGAGCGTCCGCCCATACCACCGGCGGGTGCGCCACCGCCGTTGGACAGAGGGACCGGACCAGCACCAGGCTGAACCCTGACGGCGGGGTTGTAGAGGACAGTGCCGTAGCCGCGCTCGTGGTCGTCGATGAGGCACTTGCCAATCTCCCAGATAGCCTTCTCGATACCGCCGGGCGAGCCCTGGACTTCGACGATGCGCTCGGTGGACTGGGGGAGCATCTCCTTCTGTGCGACCATGCGTACGCCGGAGGCATCCTGGATCTGCTTGATCTTCAGGCCCTGGCGACCAATGATGGTGCCCATTTGGTTGTGCGAGATGAGCAGGCGGATGGCTACAGAAATTAGCTTGGTATCAGCGCTTGTACGCAGCCATGTCGCTAGGAAGCGCCGGGGTGTCGCAATTGTACGTACGATGAGTGCCGTCGGTGCGGATAACGCCGCCCATGCCCATAGCAGGGGCGCCCTCGAGCAGGCCTTTGGCGACTAGGCCATACGCCTTGGAGATGCCAGAGAGACTACCGGTGACAGAGAGGACGCGGTCGTGGACACCTTGGACGACCTTGCTGACACCGGCGCGCACGCCAGTCTCGTCGCGCAGGTCAGCGACGTTCTTGCCCGCCTTGCCTATGATGACTCCGGCCTCCTTGGACGAAACAATGGCTCGGAGGGTAAGCTGCGACTCTGCGTATTCCTCTTCGGTGCGCGGGACTACTTCGCCCTCGCCGTCCATGTTGAGGCGGTCCAGCTGGTCGGCGACGCGGCTAGCATCCTGACCGGGGCCGGGTTGAGGTTCTTCTGAGGACATGTTGTGGGGATGGCCTAGGAACGGGCTGCAGCTGCGGTCAGTGACGTAGTTTTGCGACGCGCGCACTATCGCAATACTCACAAGAGAAGAGGGTGGGTCGCGGAGACAGAGAGGAGAGCTGGGTGTGCTGCGGCGGACGGGGAGGCGAGGACGAGTCGAAAGTGTCGAGGCTATCGTGCTACGTATCAGCAATTGTGTCAAAGGCTCGTGTTTGGGAGTGTGCATGGAAGCTACTCACTGGCGACTACGGAAGTGGCGGGGGAGGTGGTCGGTGCGGGATAGCGGACAGATAGGTAAGAGGGGGAGGGAGCAAGGGTAGGTGGGAGGGAGCGGAGAGGAGGATTGGGGGACGCGTGGGAGAAGAGAAGAGGCGTGTTGGCGGAACCTCTCTGGAGCGTGCAGATAGAGTGGAGGTAAGGTGACGGAGGGGAGACGAAGCCCTGGGTCTGCGCAATATTAGGGCGGCAGGATGTAGCTTTCCTTAGCGAGACGGACGAGCCTTGCCCTATTCACAGACATTGCAGGTGCTGGGAGGCACTGCAGGGGATTCGGCGCAATCGCTGTCCTCGTGCAGCAGGCGGCACTGAATCTACGGGAGCAATCACCATGCATGGCCTGCATGCCGGCGTGAATGCATCAAGCTGTTCGCAACTCTCGCGCGCCCCATCACCGAACACAGAACAGAATAGACCCCGCGTGCACGAGCCCTGAAAACGGCCAAGGCCCCGCGAGGATGCAGCTAAATCCAGCATTTTCAGGGTACTGGCTAGCCACGACTAGAATGTGAATGTATCGTGCCGCTGAATTCGATGATTGGCTGGGATGCGCGGGTTTTCTGCCTTCCATTGTTCGATTGAGACTAGGCCTTCACCACGCCTACGTATGCAGCGGCCTCCCAACACCACCCAATGCGCGCTCACACATCAACCAACGCCAGCTCGTGCTTTATCCACTCTCTCAAACGCCGTATCATAGCCTCACACCGCCTCAACACCACTCAATGCAGTCAACCTGCATGCGCCCTACTTTTGCGCCTCGAAAACGACCTTCTGCACCTTCATCTTGTCGAACAACTCGTAGCCCTCAATGGCGTCGCTCAACGGCATGACTTTATCAGCCATAAAGCTGTCACATGTTAGTCAGCGACTTACACTCCTGCATTATCATCAAACTCACCCAAGCTTATCCTGATGCCTCTTCAAGCTGTCAAGTGCTTCTTCAAAAAAACTTCTCACAGGGCACCTTCCCATCTGAACTCTGACGTTCTTTCCATACGCCTCATTTCCAGACCAGGGTATCTCGCCGTTGTGGACTCCGACCGAGCTGATGACGCCCCAGGGTCGGATCAACTCGTATCCCATTCGAAGCGCAGGAGACAGACCGACCACTTCGATGACAATGTCTGCTCCACGGCCGTCTGTGAGCTCCTTGACGCGCTTATCGAGACCCTCGCGATCAGTCTGGAAGTTCCAGGGTTCCGCACCCAGTGACTTGGCAAGTTCGAGGCGCGAAGGTACTGAGTCAACAGCGAGAATGTGCTTTGGCTTGTAGTCGGTGATGTTGCAGAGCGCGCAGAGAGCTACAGGACCACAGCCAATAAGCACAACGACACTGTCCTTGATTTCCTCGGGAGTGGAATGTTGGAAGCCGTTCTTGGCTGCAAACATGCCTGTTGGAAAGATGTCTGCCATAAGAACCAGTGCCTCGTCTTTGATGCCAGGTGGTGCTTTGACGGCTGTGGAGTCTGCGAGGGGAATCCGGACGTATTCTGCCTGGCCACCGTCTAGGGCAGGGCATCCAAAAAGCTGACATTTTACGCATCGCGAGGAGAAGCCGTGGGTGCAGTAAAAACACTCGCCACAGCATGTTGTGAAGGGAGAGACGACATGGTCGCCAACTTTCAAGGTCTTTACCGATGAGCCTACTTCGTGAACGTGACCGGTAAACTCATGGCCCATCACAAAGTCGGTAGCAGATGGCTGGTGACCTCGGAAGACGTGTAATTCGCTTGGACTATATGTCAGAGATGCTCTTGTTATAGGTGGTGACTTTCAGTACCTGCCGCATAATGCCGTCTGTGAAGAATAAGAATTAGTGGGAGGTGATGGTATTGATCAGCATACGTGCCTTTTCAACCTTTACGATAACATCTCCTGCATCTTGAATCTTCGGAATTGGTCTGTCTTCAATCACCACCTTCCCCGGTCCCTTGAATACGACTGCTTTCATGTCGTGCCTCTTGGTATGTTGTCAGAAGTAATTATCGTTATTGAAAGTCAAAAGAAAAGTTTGTGATCAAGAGATTCAGGAGGAAAGCAGATGTAATTCAAAAAACTGCATGCAACCAAGTGGAGCTTGTGGACTAAGTACAGGGCGCACGCCCTGACGACATCGGAGGCGCGAAATGCTCCTCGGTGATGATGTGGTGTGGTAGCTCCTACCCCGCCAAGGTTCGACTGCGGGGTAGAGAGGATGGGCAGTGAGAGCACATTGGCTGCAGGCGTGTATAGTAGCTTAGATAAAAATCGCTAAGATAGTACGCGAATCCTGAGAGGTTGATC